GACAGCCTCTACGACGATTACGGTTAGGAATAACATTTCCTATCCCCCTGTCTTTCTTTTCGTTTCACCTTACTTTTTTTCTTCTCGTTTTCGTGATTTATTCCCGTTTTATTTTTTCAGTACGTGTTATTATTATTTGCACTTTAGCGAGATGAGGATTACATATGCGATAGTAGGCGGACAGAGAAGAACCCGAAGGTACAATTCAAAAGCAGAGACAGGCAGAGAGAAATTGAGAAAAGAAGAAAAGACTTTCGGGCCCACCCAAACCGAAGCTGTTTCGTATCTATTTGTCTGCACCATTGAGCAAACGCTGTGGAGGTCACAATGAAAGAAATCAAAGTTACAAGAGGCCATAGTTCTATTTAAAATTCTTTATCGATTATGGGGGGGGGAAGACTTATTGCTGTGGAGGTCACAATGAAAGAAATCAAAGTTACAAGAGGCCATAGTTCTATTTAAAATTCTTTATCGATTATGGGGGGGGGAAGACTTATTGCTGCTAGTAGACATCAAATTTTCACAAATCATGAAAAACAAAGCAAAAAATTTAAGAATTGTTCTAATGAAAATAGTTTTTTTTCATATGCAGTTTAAACTTTATAAAGTACGATCTATATCTATCTATCTATCTATCTATATCTATATATATATTACATACATAAATTAATAGAGAATATAAAGGAAATTATCTCCTGTGAAATTTAGATAGCAAATGGGCTCTATTCTGATAAAAAATAATTGGCTATTCAGAAAGCAAATATGCACTACTGTGGAAGCAAATAATTGACAATTTAGAAAGCAAATGTACACTACTGTTGTGGCAAATAATTGGCAATTTAGAAAGCAAACGTGTATTATAGTATTTGGAATAATTAATTGGTATTTGTAAATTCTAAATACACAGTTGATTCTTAAATTGCCAATTATTTATGACTATACTAGTGCTCATTTGCTTTCTAAATTTCACAGAAGAAAATAACCTTTTTATTCTCTATTACTTTATTAAACATTATCTTTGCAGCAATAGCACAGGATTTTACGTTTTAGTCTTACTGAATAAATTTCTATATAAAATTCATTAATTTGAAGCTTTCCTTCGTGTTTCTCTCTCTCTCTCTTTCTCTCTCTCTCTCTATATATATATAACGATTACTTTACTGAAGTTATAAGCATAAAAATTTATTTATTAAAGTATTTATTGTACATGTACATGTATAATTATTGTACATGTTATGATTTACTTTTATTATTATTTTATTATAATTATAAGTTATTTTAACAGTTTCGAAAGTTCTGGACTTTTTACTAAATGCAGTGCCGATCTCTTTCCTCAGTCGTAAAGGTCAATTCAAAGGACAATAAAATTTTACGTTGATATGTCCTCATGTTAATTTGGTCTTTGATGACGCATATTCTGGTGATCCGACAATACAAGCGTACTTTAAATTAAAAAAGACTAATAATTTGTTAACAAATTAAGCTTTACATTAATTAGTTATTAGTAAACACACTCTCATCAATCTACACATCATATAATGCTTAATTTACACTTTTTCCACATTACCACAGGAAATTAACACTTTGTTGCATCACGTCCACTCTAGTAGACAAAAGTTTAAATTTGTTTATTCTTCTGTAAATGCCTTAACAGATTCCATTCCTGTGTTTATTCATTCTATATTATTAGAACTTTCAACTCTCGATCATAGATGGCTATATAGCATCACTAAATAAAGCATTGCTATTTGGAAAATGGTTGCTACTTCTGTTTCCAAGTTAGTACCATTTCTCATAGTGAACATTATATAATATTGCTTACATTTTCTTATACTGCCATGTTTTATTCGTAATTAGTCATATTAGACATTTTATTTTAAATGCCAGTTTGAGAAAATTTTGGAGTGGGTAGATAAAGATCTAGAAAAATAGAAAAAGTAGATAGAGTGAATTGAAACCCAAATGGACTGCTTATCAAATCAAAACACCACTGGAAATGTTTATGTTCGGCAAGGAATTTCTAGAACATTTGACATTTGAATCCAATATGTACAGGTTACAAAATGGTAGCAAAATGAATTCAATCCACAATCCGACGAAGTGAAGGTATTTTGAGGGGATTCTGCATGTACATGTCAGTTGTAGATTTACCATTTAGAAGACGGCAATGATCACTGCAAACAAGGCAGGAAATGATTTCAAGTGCAATGACTGAAATCGTTGGGAAGAGATTTGTATGCATGTACGTATATGCATGCTGTCCACTACAGTGAACAAACTGTAGCCATTATTTAAAAAAATATTTGAATAAAATTAATTTTTTTTATTATTACCAAGGTTATTTTAAGTAGAAAAACTACAAACATTTTCGTTTAACTTCTCTAGATTATTTGTATGCAACAAAGGGTTAAAAAGAAATGCTATATGACAAATAAGTCTGGCAATATTTAAAACTCATTTAAGGAAGGAATAATAAAAGGAATTCAAAATTGGAAATGCTAAATTTCATAGCAGATGTTTTAATTCCTCCAAAATATTATCAGAATACTTTTTTTGGGAGGGGGGACGGCGAGGATTCTTTATTCCAAATATAAACTCTTGCACGTTGATATTTCCTTGTTTACAAATAAGGGGTAAAATTCGCACGAATATTATCCGTAAGGAGACAAATTAGAGTCATGTTTTTCTAGATGCTTTTAGAATTATAAAACGTTTTTTCTGCAGTTATTCAAAATGGCCACGTAAAAAAAAGCGTGTAATAGCAAAAGTGGGAAATTTTCCAACACTTTGTTACTGCTTTTTCACACCAGCCGGTTGTTCAGTTAACCCTAATACTTTAAAGCGACCTATTTTTTTTTAGTTTAACAGGATTCATAATCCTTCGAAACTTGTTTAGAAGTTATTATATTACTTCTGAAAATCGTGGGAAACATTGCTTTTTCCTGATATTAAATTACAGTGTTTTTCATTTGTTCATTTCTTTTAATGTTGTACAGTGATAAAAATGATTAGTTTTCTTGTTTCTCTCATTATTTTCAAAGGGAAAGCGATACTAAGTTTCGGGGAAATGATATAATTTTCCTTCCAAAATTAAGTGCTTATTTAGTTACTTATCTAGAGGAAAATCTTCATGTTTAAAAAGAGATATTGTTTTCTGTTTCTAACCCCAAAAGAGTTACAGCATATAAGATTTGTTATGATAGTAAATTTTAATTCCTGGTAACGTCTAAAAATTGGGTGAGAAAGATCGTTTGAGGCACATTTCGTTCGAATAGAACATTATGTGCCTAGTTTACATGCTGTTAGAAAAAAAAAAAAATGAATGTTAAACTTAGTTACTTTTCATAATAGAACATTTAAAGGTTATATCCCTTAGAAGGTAGGTTCTCATTAGAGAACATTTACGGAAACATTAGTTCACATTCACTTTACAAATGAAAAATTAAAGAAAAATATTAAAGGATTAAGTAAATAAGGAATTTTCAAATAGTAAAATATACCTTAATACACATACTTAGTAGAAGAAAAATAATACACAATTAGGATAAATAATTAGAACAAACATTAAGTAGATGAAAGTCTGATAGCATTTCAAATCATTTAGATTAACATGTGTTAACTAATAAACAAGAAACTTGATTAAAAATAATAACAATATTACTTTCTTAACGTACATAGTGTCTTCCCAATCGTAAAAAAGTTCCATTTTGATGTTAGAAACGCTGTTATGAAGATATATCTGATTATTTTTGACGTTAAGGCTAAGCGAGTAATGAATAAGCATCGCTTTGGCAATTCACGCATTGTATGAAGTTGATTTTATCTTTTCCGATTTTCATTTATCTTTTTAATTCAAAGGGGCAATTTGCCCAAATGGGCTATTAATTTCATTTTGGCATTTTGCGTCGGTTCACTATAAAAGTCATTTCACTTTTCAGGTTGTTGCCAACCAATATTAGAGCCCTGTATTATATTTAAAGAAATTAAAGAATGAAGAATCTGCATAAATATATGTATTTTTCTCGCACTGTGAAAAAACAACGGTACCTAGAGATATCCAATTTTGAATAACGTAGTCGTTCATTCGAATACGGGCATCTGGAAGCCCAGATTTGGAATCTGTTTTATTATCTATTTCCTATTCTGTCAAATATTAAAGAATTTTTGATTAACATACTCAACGATTTCAAAGCGAGCAATTGCAACACTGTATAGAGAGATAGATGATCATGATATTTAATAAATAAAGGTGACAAACATATAAAACGTTTGGGCGTAATATAAAATATGAAATCCTTCAGATATTTTATTTTATTTATTTTTATTTTATTTTTATATTTTTTTTATTTGGAGCGTGGTTTTTATGATGTATTCACAGTACAGTGTTCACAATCAGTAAATTCAAAAGTATCAGTAATAAGTATTACACTTAAGTTAAATAAATACGTAAATAGCAGTAAAAACTAATTAAGTAATTAAAATAAATAAATGAGCGAGATAATTATAAGATAATCCACTGGAACTTTACGTTGTAAGTTTCTGAAGGTCATGTAAACCTGTATTTTTATTACTACAAATAAAAGAATCGAAACAAATAAACTTAATTCAACATAAGCTCGTGAGAAACTTCTTGCGAAAATAAGTTGCTTGAAAATGCTTCTAACATTAGTATAATTAATTTTATAAAAAGGTTTTTAGCATCATATATGAAATAACTTTTCAATTCCTTTTTATACTTTTTCAATTATTGTTTCGATCCTTATTCCAAATGGCTTAGAATGAGAGTTTTAAATGATATTGCTACTCGTACTCAGACGCATATTTTAAAAGTACTATCAAGTGCTGTTATTGAAGATATCCATTCACTTTAGTTTCAGTTTTAATCAAGTAAAGTTATTCCATCGGCCATTAAAAATTTTAACTTTTTGAAATCTTGTTTTTTAACTTACACTTAAGTGATACATTCTCTTTTTTTTTTTTTTTTTTTTTTTTTTTTGCAGACGACCATTCCGGGTTAGATGCTTCGAACAGTCCAGATCCTTCTAACAGCCCTCCGTACAACCTGAAAGTTAAAAAGCAGAGAAAAGCGAGAACAGCTTTCACCGATCACCAGCTTCAAACTTTAGAAAAGAGCTTTGAAAGACAAAAATATTTGAGTGTTCAGGATCGGATGGAACTCGCTGCCAAACTCAACCTCACAGACACACAAGTGAAGACGTGGTACCAGAACAGAAGGTAAAATATGAATCCCTTTCCAATACACGACTGCTTATTTGTTATAATTAAGAATAAATAAAATTATGCGTGCATCAAAATGTTAAATTAGATCTCGGTACTCAGGATAATTGCATTAAAAATGTGTCAAGACTTTAAGAGGAAAAGGAGGTATAGCAATAAGCAAAGGTTAAAATTATATTCGTAGAGAATTATGTGCATTTAATTAAGAAATTTAGTAAACTAAAACTATTGTATAAGCAGTAAAAATGAATTGTAGCGAATCTGAACTCTATTACTAAATGAAGCTCGAAAATACTATCGTTAAAATAAGTTATTTATTAAAGAATGTACTGTTTTATTCAACAAAGAGAAGATTTTAATGTCTCAGATATTCTTGATATTCTTATTTTTCTCCTACGTAATTCTACTTTGCGTACTGTAATTTCCTGCTAATTTTGATAAGCGAGAAGGAATCTTCAAAATAAAAAATAAGAAAAAATTAAAAAATTCTCTTATAAAGTTTAATAAACCAGAAATGGACTATAAGTATCTATAAAGTAGCTTCAGTGATATTAATGAGATTTGTCAACTACTACTGAACAATTTTATTTAACAACTTCTCTTGCTTTCTTTAAAATAATCTGAATAAAGAAGAAAAAGGAAAAAAAATATAGATTGCCTATTATTATTTAATTTTTATTATGGAATTATTTCATTTATTTGTAAAACTCATCATCAAATTAAAAGATAAATTATAATGCCATCTTCATCTATGATTCCAAGCTCGAAAAAGTTACAAGTTTCCTATATCAACTTTGCTGAAATGGTTGTCCTTTTTCTAGGAGGGAGGGGAAAGTCTGATCAAGTTGTTAATCGGTGCCGATAAAAATAACCACAGAAATATCTTTCACTTACTTGATAACGAAAATTTTATTGCTTCAATAATCGAAAACCGACCACAAATATTTATACTATTCACTGAAGCTTCTGATGTTTGATTATACTATTGACTGAAGCTGCTGATTTTATACTATTGCAAATGCGATAAACATATTTGCGATGGTATAAAAATTAAATATTGTGAATTTTTCTTGTTCCTTTTTACTTTGCTTTTGTTTCTCTCCTTTTAGGTGAATATACTTTGGTTTTATCTTCTCTCCCTTCAATAATTACTTTTGACGAAATATTGCCCTAAAAGCAAAAGTTTAAAAAAATATAAAAGAAATTATGTAATTGGTGACCACTGACCATTGCTCTTACGCTATTTAACTCATGGCCAGCCGAGCAGTAGCTAAAATTTGGTAGTTCGACCCGGGTTCGGACCTTAAAGAAAGGACTCGAACTGCGAGGGAGATTTTGTGGCTTTTCTTACGTGTAACGTGAATACGAGAGAGTTTCTGTTAAGAAGTCTTCCTTTTAGGCAGTTAGTCCTTTTGTGCGTAGCCATAATCCAACTAAACTAAACCGAACGAAACTTACTCTACCTGAGTGTAATTAGTAAACGCCGCTGCGATAATTCTGCTAAAAGTCTCATTTCTTTTATATCTCTTGTTCTATTGGAAAGAGGATCGGTTTGAACGCCTAGCAAGCACCAGACCACGATTGCATGACGCATCATCTTAATAAAATTGGCATCTTTCCATCTAGTATATGCCAAATTGGGAGTTCGGGCATCACCAATGCAGAGCATCTTCTTATGCGCCCAGAACTAGGTAAAGAGTCTCAGAAACGTGGTTGAGTTAAGCAAACTATACTGGAATGCCAGTGCTTTCATGAACTACTTGTAAAGACTACATCTCTAATGTTCCTTTCCTTGTTGCTTCAGTTTTTAACATTTTACTTTTGTTCGCATGTCCATTTGTTCTGGTTCTTACTTTACATGTTTGTTCTTTTTTATTATATATCATTGTTCTTGTGTGATAGTTGAGCTGTTTTATATGTTTGCACTGATCCTTCTGTCAGGATCGCTTCTTTCTCGTTTTTATGTTACTGAAATTTATTCTGTTTTTGTTTCCTTCGTAGAACAAAATGGAAACGCCAGACGGCAGTGGGACTGGAACTCTTGGCGGAAGCCGGCAACTACGCAGCAGTGCAACGAATGCTCCAAACCACCCCTTACTGGCTGAATCACTACGCTGCTAACTTACCTTTCAGCAGCGTTTCTGGCATGGACATGTATTATCGCCAGGCTGCTGCAGTGGCTCTCCAGAAGCCAATGGCCTACCGCATGTACCCTTCAGCTCCGGCCGCCTCCATCGGCCTTCCAGTCAACTTCTCGTCCTCCAGTGTTCCTCCTATGGCAGGGGCTAGTGCCACTTCTCCGACATCTCCCATGTCTACGTCTACCAACTCATCACTACCTCCTTATTTCAGCAGGGAACCACCCTGCTGAAATTGGACCACTTCTTAGGAACAATATCTAATTTATTTAATGTGATGAAAGATGGTCAACAACACGTGATCAAGGATAGCTGCAGCATATAGGTGAAACCCATTTCCAAGGTGTTATTCCTACTGGGATTGGGTTGGTGAGCCCCATTCCCGAACTTGTAAATTTCTGATTCCAGAGTTAGTTCCTGAGAAGATTTGTAAAATACTATATTTAAAAAATACTTAAGCGCTGCTGGACGTAACGAAGGAAAAAAGAAACCCGGTTCCTCGATTCTCACGTAGACCTGCTGCAATACCGAAAGTTATAAGTCTGGATCTCGGTTTATTTTTTGACTTAAAAAACTGCCAAATACGACGTTCCTTAAACTCGATTGTATGTAACTTTGAATGTTTTACAGCATACTCATCCCTTCATAATGTGAAAATATCATCTCGTTCTTTCGCACGTAATACTTTCAAGCAATACTTTTTATTTCATTTTGTGATTAATTGTGCATGTGGTTCGGCATTCAGAAACTTTGTTTCGAAAGACTTATTTAAACTTTTAGAAAACCGTTGAAGATATTGCAAAGTATAGTAATAAATTATTATTTGAAAAAATAAACCAGGCGAAAAGTTTTTGACAACCGCCCTTTCTTAAAGGAAGGAAACATATTTTTGCAGGAAAAATTGACGTATGTTGGATAATGTTTTGAAATGAAAACTAGAAACACTAACAGTAATCAAGTATAAATATTTCTATATCGCTTTCTCTTTATTGCAAAAAGGTTAAAAAATTTTATGATTATTTTGACAAATATTATTTAAATTAGAAAAGAGATATGTCCCGATTTCTTGAATATACTGCAAAGTTTTGAGTCTTTGCAGACAATGAATATTGAGTAAAATGTGCTCTTAATTTTACTTATCACAGATAAAACATCTTTCTCTTCAATTCAAAAAGTTTCGAGACTGTAAAACAAGCTTTTACTTTTTAATATATAAAATTTCGTACTTTAGCTTCCTATTGCTTAATTTATAACAACAGGGTATTTAAATCTAACACACAAAAGGTTACGAATAATGACTCAAATTTTATGTATTCTTAGTAACGAGTTACATGTAAAACAATACAGACAACATCGTTAATACCATTTCTTTCTTACAATTAGCGGTGCTTCCCAACCGGAATAGTGATCCTAAATGCCGTATTGAAAGACCCGGGTTCGAACCCCGAAGATGGATGCTTGAGTCTGCGCGGCATAGGGACACTCTAAATTTGCGGCCAGCCGAAGTCCTCTCGAGAGGTTAGTGGTAGGGGAAGAGGAGTGGGAGACCTCAGATCCGTCCCTGGAGGGGTCTCAACCAAAATTGGGGGTGGAACTGAGCAGAGTCGTACTGTCATTTGAATGGCGCTCAAGGCTGTTGCCAACGACAGGCACAATCTTTCACCCCTTGCCACGATGAATTTCGTTGGCTTATTCTGATGTTACTATCACACAAGTGAGATAAGTCACAACAACAAAGAGGTCAACTCTTCATAGTTAACATAAAAATGCTATAACTAAGCAAGGAATTAAAATCACTTTTATGACTTATTACAGTTAATTTTTCTTTTAAATTTCATAAAATTACACTTAATTTAAAATCGTTTCAATAAATGAATAAATAAGATGTTCAGAAAAATTAAAAATACTCTATATTTTGCAAATAGGTTTAGTTTTAGCTTTCCTACGGAGTTCTAAATATTTATTAATGAGTTTGAAATGAATCAATAATGCAAATCAAATAAATATCGATATATATCTTCTGGTCTAATTCATGCATTCACTGATTATGTAGTAGCATTGCGAATTTAAAACAAATAAACTGTAGCCAAATACATTAAATGGTTTCTACAGTCCGTCAGGTTAGTAATATAAAATATCAAATAGTTAATCGGACTAATAATCTAAAATATTAATCTATTGAATTTAAAACGAATTTATAAATTTGATTTATCATTTTCGGCAAATAAAGTATTGCAGCTCATATTTAAATATGCTTTTTAATACTACGCACACAATGAATATATTATTAATATGCATTCATAAGGATTTCGGGATAAATCTTTCTCTTATGGTAAGTTTTTCTCATTGAAAACATTTTACATTTTTCTTCTTCAAAAATTAAAATTTCATTTTTTAATTAGAACCAAAGCGTTTAATTAATATTAAAACTCAGTTTTTTAAATAACACTTCAGTATATCATGAAAAATGAGACAGAACATCTGGAAGTGAATATAAAATTTTACGAGTTGCCTAGACACAAATAAATAATTTCCGATTTAATCCTTTTTCAATTTAATATTCTGAGTTCACTGCACGTAAACTTTAATAACAATTAATCGAAAACCGATAGTTCCAAATTGCAATCTTTTTTCTATTATTTCTTCTGAATTTATTTATAAAAATACGAAGCTAGTCTAAACATTTTATTTAAAGTTTTCGCTGTTATGCGAAGTGGATTTTATTAATAAATCCACTTCGCATACAAAATCCACTTCGCATACCACCGAAATACGTCGAGGTATTTTCTCCATCCTTTCTGAATGCCTTCGTGGTGTAAGGGTAGCACACTTGGCGCGTATTCGAGAGGTCCAGGTTCGAGATTCGGCGAGGGCATTGCTCATTTTTCACCTTCGCTGCTTTAAAATAAATTTAATGCCTCTGTAATGGCGCCCGAACTAAAAGGGTGGTGGATGATGATTCTTTCCCACCAGGATTTGGTGATTGGGCTCCATTAATCACCAGTCACCCTTTAAAAAGGGTACTTTCTCCCTCCTTTAGGCATGCCTTCGTGGTGTAACGGTTAGTACACTCGGCGCGTATTTGAGAGGTCTAGTCCCGGAGGGAGCATCACACATTTTTCACGTCTCTTGCGCCAAAACATCCTAATGTCTCTACACATTCCTGAAAAGACCGAGTTTTGTATCTTCAATGGTTTTGCTAAGACTATGTTTCTGTTATTCGAAGGAACTTACATATAAAACATATAAATTTATAGCAAATAAGTTTTTCATTAGTTTCAAGAATTAATGAATAATGAACTAAGGATTTATTTAAATGCATGTTTCTAAGACTGAGATAATAAAGTTGGTTTGAAACTAAAATGTTTCAGGTAATCTCAAATGGATACCCTTATTTAATAGTTCTGTAAACATCATGCTCATGTCATGTTAATGTATTATTCGATAAATTTATTCCAATGTATAAAAATGCCATATTATGCTGATGTAAAATACGAATCCCACCTTTTGTAAAATGTATTTATTTATGTTGTGAAACAAAAGACTTCACTTGTAAGATATTCGTCGTCAAACCGGCCGATAACAAACAACGTCATGATGTAGTTTCACCATGCTATTGTACATAGAAAAATTGAGATGTCGGCTACAAAATAAATTTTTTCATGAAACTGTTGTGTTTTGTTTACTATACAGCGTCTTGGTTGTGATTCGTTTTCTTAGCACTACGTTTACATTAAGTAAACCCTATTGCAATTTTTTTTAGTTCGTAAAGTTTGATGCGATTCACGTTTATACTAACATCCTAATGAAAATAAAATGGATCGCACAAAGAAAATTTTCAGTAAAAGAAATGCCAAAATGCATAGAAATTTATTATTTTATTGCTAGATGTCATTTTTTATAAGCTTTAAATTCTGAAATAATTGTTTTTCTTTCTTTTGCTGTTCGGTGAACTTGTGTGAATAAATTAGTTTTCCTTACTAATTTTAAGTTTAGCTGATAATATTAAGGTAATTTTTTTTTTTATTTCGTGAAGAAAACTTAGAGATAATTTAATTTAAACTGCCTACATTTTAAAATGTAAATTTCTTAATTCACTTATAAATCAAACCAAAACATCAGCTATAGCAATGCTGTTTAAATTCTTAATTCACTTATAAATCAGACCAAAACATTAGCTACAGCAATGCTGTTTAAATTCTTAATTCACTTATAAATCAGACCAAAACATCAGCTACAGCCATGCTGTTTAAATTCTTAATTCACTTGTAAATCAGACCAAAACATCAGCTGCAGCAAATGCTGTGTAAAACAAAGTTAAAAACCAGTTAAAGAATAAATTGATAATGAGAAACGTATACCGTTTCTTGCACACTTTGATTCAACAATGAAATCTGAGTCTATGCAGCAGAGGTCATCTATCAAATAATAATAATACCTTTCCTATAGATCACACATATAATAAGAATAAATAAATGCAATATTCGTTGAATATTAAACAAACACTACGCTAAATAAATAAGCATCTAAAAGAGAGAGCATCGTAAGAGCATCAAAAATACTAGATTCTTATTTAGAAGCATCTCACACTTAATTTTACATATATTTGAAAGCTAATTTCATCCATACTCCTCAAATTTATTTATTTAAACTTTTCATGACACTGTTATCAACTACAATCTTGTATTTCGTTTTACAGAAGAGAATGCTATTTCTTCTCTGAATTTTAAGAGTGCATTGATATTTTTAAAAATATAAAATCTGTTGATAACGAAAGCAATACAAATATTTGCGTTTCAATAAATTATTCAAAACAGATTAAAATATAAACTAAACTTTACTGATCTTGAAATACAGATGAAGCGAACGTTAAATTCTGATGCTTTCAGATTAAGAATTATTATTTTGTTTCTTTATTACTTTTGCAGGTTTTTAAAATTTTAAATTTTGATCTCAGAATATCAGTTTGCGCTTTAACACCTCTAAGGGTTTGCTATTGAAATTTCACAAAGTTTAGAAATAATTAAAAACTTTAAAAATATGCGAATCACGAACATTTAAGAAATCGCAGTCTAGTGTTCATATGCTGTTTCGAGTTTATTGCTTAAAATAGTTTGATGTTGGAAAGTTATGATCAGTTTTCTGGTTTAAGAATTAATCACCCTGAAATTCAGAATATAGAACACTCTATATTTAAAACGATCTCAAGGGGAAAAAATGCCAAATGATACAATCGAAAACTTGCTATGATAACATTTTGTTGCGAATTACCGCAAAGATTTAATTATTCAAGGTCTAGCTGTGCCTTTATTTACCGGACTGGTTGCTCGGGAAGCATGCAACAAGCTTTTCCTTCAAGCGGTACGAATTTTTTATAAATTTTTCCAGGACAAGAAATCTGCTTATTAAAGCAATAAACAGCTCGGAAGAAATTTCCTTCGAGATGTTTTAAAAAACAAATCTGTATTTCCATAACTGAAAATGTTTTTACCATTGCTCTTATGTAATTAATTCTAATAAAAACACTACAAAATTAAGTAACCTTTTCAGCTCTCAGATTTTTAAATTTTGTTCAATATGCTTCATCCGCTTAGTTCTCTTATGGAATAGTGTACAACGTACAGACTACAGCAACGGAGTGAGGCATCTATCTTGCATGCATTTTTACGGTGTGACGGTAGCGTGAATTTGAAACTAATGTGTTTGAAGCCAGTCCCGATGAAATTTGCTACGAATCTTTGTTTCTGCAAATTTTTCTTTTCTATTGAACGCATTTATTTAAAAGTGGAAAAATGGAATTAAGTTGAAACAAATCAGATGAAAATACACACATAATTCGATATTAATCTCGCATAACTAAAACCTTCGGCCACCAGAGCTACTGTGTAAAAGATATCTATTTTAAGTCACGTAGGAATTAATGAATTACAGACGATTCAAGCTCTTCTTGAATTTGTGTGGCTAATAAAATGATGAATTAAAACAAAACAAAAAAAAAAAAATAAACAAACTAAAAAAAAAAAAATAAATAAATAAATAAACAAACTAAAAAAAAAATCTGAAAGGCTTCAGGTTTTAAATTACGTTCAAAGGGGCGTTTTTTTTTTTTTTTTAACGTTTTGTGTGCTACCTTTACGTATTAAATATCATGTTCTTTGCACTTAAACCATAAATTCAGTTCAATAGCAATGTCGCAAATTAATTTTAAAATGAGCGTATCCTTTAGAATTTCCGATACACAGTTCTGCGTGCTGAAAATAAAAAAGGTTTCCCTCCCCCGTGGAGTGCTGCCATTGCTCGCTTTGAAATCGTTAAGTTTGTTACTCAAAAAATTCGTTAAAGTTTTACAAAATATGAAATTGATCATAAAACAAATTATAAATTTCAAATTGTGTCTTCCACATGCATATATTCGTAGGAGGATTACGTCATTCAAAATTCGATGGCTGTAGGTACCGTTGTTTGATCACAATGCAAGAAATATACCTACATTTAAGCAGATTTATCATTATTTAATTTCTTCAAATATAATGCAGGACTCTAACATTTGGTGGCAACGGTTTGAAAGTGAAACGGACATTTATAGTGATTCAACGCAAAATCACAAAACGAAAACAATAGTCCTTCAGGGACAAAGCCCCTTTGGACTAATAACAATTAATACATAAATTTAGCTTGTAGATAATTAATATATAGAAGAAGCTTTAAATAATTACATATTTATAACAAAATTTTAGCAAACCAATCTTTCTAAATAAGGTATAATTCTAATTTCTAATAAGGAAATTCAATATGAATAATTCTCAGAAAATAATTATTTGGAAATTTAAGGTTAAAAATTACTATTGCAGTTCATTGAAGATTGTAACAAAGTACGTAAACCATATTTGACATTACTATTCACTATAACAAAAACGTCATCGTTCAAAACGCACCAGTATATAAATTTCAGTATATCTTAGGAAATTTCGAATAAAAAAGGTTTTTGTTTGAATGTCGTCTGTAAATATATTTATTTTAAGATGGTGGTAAAAATTTTATTCATTCTAGTTCATAATGCTTCGAAAAATTTATAAAAACAGAAATTTTAAAAATAAATCAAGGGAAAAAACACCTATTTTATTTGGATTAAATCTAAATAAAATAGAAATCTAGAATTTTATGGAAAAGCAAATAAAATAAGTTTAATTTTAAAACATAATATTATTAAATGCATGCTAAATTCAATTACCATCATGTGGTTAAATTTTTGAGTGTTAATTAAAAAGAAAGCTACTGCTGCGGTATTTACTCCTTCCCAAAATTGGGTCCCCTAATCCCCAGTCGCCCTTTAAACGGGGGAGTATATATAAGGTATTTCTCCTTTCTTAGCACGCCTTCGTGGTCAACACGCTCGACGCGTATTCCAGAGGTCCGTGGTTAGAGTCCTGAGAAGGGTATTGCTGACTTTTCATCTCTCCTGCTTCCAAAAAACCTAATGTCCCTACAAACTAAAGCAAAATAGGTGTTGTAAAGTTAAAATATACCTTACAACATATTTTACAAAAGAGTATGGAATTTATTTTTATTTACTGCATCTCGAACCAATTTTCGTTCAAATATATTGCACGAAATAATATGTAATTACCACAGCATCGATATGAAATGTAATTTTATTCAAATTTAATAGTTTTAATTTCACGCTATTAATTATTTGGCTTTTTTCCATGCACCAAAATAGTTGAATTACTTCGATAATATGTAGTCTCCTTTCCTTTACAAACATCCCAAAATACATGTAACGAAATTACTTACATAAGCGCTTTGAATCTGTTTACCTTCCTCTTCTTTTGATTACTTACGAGATAAATGTAACGGATGGTAAGTATGCAATTACAGCAACATTATTCATCTATCCTATT